AACTAATCAAGAAACAAGCTCAAATTGTTGAATTAAATGCTATTAATGTCAATACGACAATAACGTTAACGTGCTTTTCCAACCGTAAAATCGACAAGTAAATGTCGTTTATATGAACCTGCAAGGCAATAAAAACACACATTGGCGCGTGTAATTCCTCAAATGATCAGATACTTAGCTTTGATTAGCGCTCGCTCGACGCGCAAGCAACAGACTCTCTCGCGTCGGCAAGTGCCATGAGCAACGAAGTGCAAAGAGGATTTTAATAAAGGCAATAATCGGCAAACATCACGGTGAGAGCATAACCCAGCTCGACATTTAAAGGAAGCCTTTTGCCTCGCGCAGGTTTGCGGTGGAGAGTGAGCGAGCGAGAGAACTCGTTGCCATATCAATATACCTAAGTGAAATGATACGAGGCACCCGTAAAGCCCGACAGTAATGACGCATTAGGGGGCCGCTTTGCCCGATTTAGTCGCCCATCAAACAAAGGCAACTTTTATTGGATGGCCCGAACACGTAAGAGCACCACTCGCACGCCCAAGCGCAAACACTACTCTGACGAGCGAAGAGACCGCCGCGCGTTTTATGCGTTTTATATAGGTGCCAGATACGCGACCCGAATGCCAAACAGGCACACCTACGGGGTTGCGTGGTGGCTAGTTACGCGTCACACGTGTGTCACACACTGAGCACCCTTCATTCCATTCGCCCGCGTATAACGAACGACGCAACCGCCTTTTTAACTTTTCTTTCTCTGCGATTTTATACCTTGTATCATCATTGAATCAGCAATGCTTGTCTCAAGTCTCTCTCTCTCTCTCTCTCTCTCTTCTGAAACTTGCGAGGGATACGATTCATATCTGGAATAACTTTCCGATACAAAATTTATCAAAAGTCACTTAGTCATGATTTTCAAACTTAATCCTGATAAAAGTTGCTATTGTTCTTCCTAACTATGTCACACGAATTACCAAAAGAAAAGGGAAATGGAATTCTTTGGACTCATAATCTCGGCTTATTTTAACATTCCATTGTTTTTGACGTATGGGAATACCACAGCGCAAATAAACTCAACACTTTAATGAACAGAATGAATACCATTGATAAACGACCGGCGAGAGAATTTTCACGCGAGTGTGAGCTCCACATAAACTTTAAAATCGGACAAGCGTAACGAACCATCAGAATGTCAATTAATAAATATTCGCGCGAACGGAGTCGAGAGGCTGAAAAAAACACTCTTGCGATATTATTTCAGCGCACGAGAGACGAATAGTGTAGCGTCGATTATTGTCGAGCTTGTAACGTTTATTGCAGCAACGCGCGCGGAGAGCAGAAATATCGCTCGCCGTCGGCAAAGTTCTGGCTCGCGCGCGGGAATAGCCGTCGCTCTGTCTCTTGTCGACAACAATACAATCGCCTGGAGAATGGATTTTTCCGTTCACCTCTGTTTCGCAATTGCGCAATTTATTATTTCACTTAACGTTCGATTTTTATTCGATGATCGCCAGCTCCTTTGAAGGCGTCAAGAGAACGTATAAGGTTCCGTGGCGCTGCCGCCGGCGGCGGCGGAGCGCTCGTAGTTGCCCCTATAATACCTTTGCAAAGATAGCAGCGACGATAGCAAGCAGTGCACAGACAGAAAAAGAGATAGAAACACGACAGGGTGAGAGACAAATGCAAAACCTGTTTGGGATTCTCTTCAGTGCAAAAATCGCGGCGCAGTGTTGTGTTGTGTGTATAGGTGAATATGAGAAATAATTGGACGAGCTCGGGGATGAGTACTTTTATGAGATTGTAAAACGGGCGTCGATGATGTCTAAATCGATGCATATTTTTGGATTATAACCTCGGCACGCGAGTCGCGCGTCTTGAAAATTAAGGCCGATATCTTTGGCCGTTATCGTCGCTTCTTTCTCTCATTCTTGGGATCCCGCGCGTGGCTATTCATTTGACGTCCAAATCGTCTCGTTACGTGTCTCGATCTTATCTTTTATATTACTTTTAAAATGATATTTTTACCTTTTTTTAGCATCTTATAAATTTACCAAGAACTAACCGTTACATTTTCTTTTTCCGTGCTTCGCTACGTGGTCCACGTATCTTTCAAGCAAGCAGCCAAATACCAGTTTTAAGCTCATTCACACGTGTATTGATTGGCACTTATTTTCGCGATTGGAGACCACTGGAATCAATTATTTATTAATTATTTCGAGAGAGAGTATCGAATTATCCGATGTAGGGCTCATCAGCGATATGTTAGACGTAGAGGCGCCGGGATTGACAAGACGCGTACCCTCTCACTCAGTGTGGCCCTGTTTGCGACGGAATAAATTGAATCTTATATTGTGCATGAGGTGTGTGTACGCGTGTGCCATGGTTCTATCTGACGCATAACAAATAATGCGTGTTATACAGACCGACAGCATTGCGGCTCATGCGCGGAACCAAAGCGGAAATGTACTTATTGCAAATGTCCTGTGTTTCCAACTGATCAACCAAATTCGATTTAGTTCAATTCGTGACCATACATGCGTTACCTACTTCACGTCATGATTATATAGAGCTTACCTAATCTTTAGAAGTGTACATTTTTTTGAAATGTTTGTATGTTTATTGTAATAACTGAATTAATTGTGTATTTTTACGCTTCCAAATTGTTACGTAGTTCCTTCCACTTGAAAATGTTGCCGTCGAATGTAGCTTTTCAAGATTTTCAGACAAGGTTAACAAGAACCATTCGATTTTATGAATGTGTACGACAACAGACGTGTCTTAAATTCTTACAACTACATTGATACTTATTAGAAACTTGTTGATTTATTATTGTGAAAAATAATGTCTGTAACCATGTCTGATGAAAATTCATTTTTATCACTGAATTGTTTTGAAATCATCAAGCTTTATCACTATACACAATTAAAACTGAATGATAAATTTATTAACGTGCAGTTTCAGAATTTCATTCCTTTTTTCATAAATATTACTCAATCTATAATACGTAAATAAACAATTATTGTACAAAATATTCTCTAAAAATTGATAATAAGCAGATGACATTTGAATTACATAGCAAATAATCATTAAATAATTAATCATATACCTAAGCAGGGCTTATAACTTCAAAATATTAGTCTCGAACCAAAATAAACACAAAACTACATAAAAGTTGCATTTCATCCAAGCAAACAATAAAGTCTCACATGATGACACAACAACACAAACCTGCTTGGAAAAAAACTAAAATGCAGACGGCGCTCGTCTATAAAAGAAGCCAGTGCCAATCGAGTTAATTGAAATTATAAGTATAATCGCGTAAACAATCGTAAAAAAGGCATTAATCGATTGAAAGAAGCCTCACCGGGGAAGAGAGCGCGGCCATCGATGCCAAAAGGGAGGGGAGCACGCGAGTTCTCTCTCTCGTGGCAACCATGCAGCGTAGCGCGGCGGCGGTGGCGGCGGCGGCGGCACGTGTCAAAAGGAACAACCGACGCATGCGCGGCTAACGTTGCCAAGATGGCCGCGAGAGTTCTCTTGCTCCCCTCTCTTGCCCCACCTCTTTGGCACTGCCTCTTCTTAACCCAGCAGCAACTCTGTCTCTACGTATGTGTAGACGTCATCGTTGTTCACACTTTATTTTTAGCTTTTCTCAAGTGAGTATATAGTTATACTTTTTTAGAGACGCGCCGATTGATCTTTCGAGTACACAGTTAAGAGAGAAGAGAGAAAGAGAGACAGCGGCATCCGGACTCGGTTAAGCTCACGCACTAGATGCGTGCGTGGTAGCAAATCGTCAAACTTTTTGGGTAAATGTGGTGGGGGATTGCAAAGGGGAAGATTGAGAAGGGGGCATTGGGTGATTTGGAATCTTGGAATGTCTTCACCCAAAATTTCGCACGCTCAGCTTTGTTTTCAAAAATAAGAGACTAGGGGTGTATATATTTTTTTATAATAAAATAATAATAAAAATCTTTCCAAAGAATTCGAATATATCACTGTGTGAGTATGGACGATTTACGCGGTTGATTGAATTTTATTGATTTTGTATATAACTTTTTGCTTACAGTTTCCTGAAAAAATTCCTCTGTAAGCTAAGAAAAGACTAAAGTTTTTTTGTTCACAAATGTAATGATAATGGGTATAAATTGTAAACATTATAGTTCATCTAGATTATTATAAAATAATGTCGTATTATGACTTCAAATTAAAGATGATCTTTATCACTTTATTCGGATCAATTAAATTGGATAAATATTTTATCGTTAAAATAAGTAATTTATTATGTAAAATATATTTAAATCATTCGTCATAGCTGCCAGTTTTAAAAATACGATTTTTCAAAAAAATAAAACGTGAACGCTTAGAAAGAGCGTAAAGATACAAAAATAGCCTGTGGCCTATTATTGCTGTTCTTGGCTCAATTTTAAGGGTAGGTCACTGACACAGCAAAACACTTTCGTATTGATTTCTCGCTTGAAGCGTATTAAGCTCCTTGTGAAAGCTCCGCTCTAGAAATAACCTTTATACACTGCATTGTTCTGAATTGCTCGCTCGTCAATCTACCAATACTCTACAGTTAGAAATGACAAAAGCTACTGAAAATTATTATAAAATTAACAATTGCAAATTGCAATTTGAAGGAGGTATGGAATGACGATCGAAAAACAATTAATCGCAGGTAGTAATAAAAAATGAAGAAGAGGATACGGCAACTAATCAATCAATCAATCAAGATAAAGAGAAATTAGAAAAAAAGCCTTCTTCTAGATTTATCACGCCATCATCCGCACGGCTCGAAGGGCACACACGCTCGGCATAGCATCACGAGCACACGCACACTAAGCCGCGCGCGCACGAGGGAGGCATCGACACACACACAGCCAAGGCAGATGGACCGTGGAGAATGCGCGCAGGGGCAAAAGGGGAGAAATAAGCCGCGGCAGCAGTGGCGGCAGAGCAAGATGGCTACCTCCAAGCTCATACGTCCACGTCGTCGTTGCTTTCGCGTCGAAAAAGTGCGTGCGCGTAAAATCGCGAAACTCATTAATTATCGGGCGACTGGTTGCGCTCCGATGACGTACGCGTGGGATCGTCTGCGCGCGGCAAAAAGAGAAAAATCTAAAGGAGAGAGACAGCGCCACGCCCAACGGCCTGCGAAAGCAACGGATGCAGCCATCTTGGATGATGCATCGCTCGCCGAGCGGGATTTTATTTTTACGCCGATTCGAAGGATTCGCCAAGCGTCATCGAGATAAAGGCCGCCAGAGGCAGATGAGACTGCGATTGCCGCAACAGGATCGCTGACGTGCTTTCACGCACTTCAGGTGAGAGAGAGAGTTTTTATCAAGATGCGCGCGAACGATGGCCGCGCGATCCCTCTGCGGCTGCGTGTAAGATAGCGTGTGTGAATGTGCGTACGTATACGTGTGGAGAATTGATTCTTCATGTTGTTGCTACGACGTCTTATTTTTCCATCAGAAATGATTTACCACTCATTGTTCATCGCTGTTTCTGACTGTCATTTGGATGGTTTATTTTTAACGATTTATTCTCGATCTTTTTTGTTCCTTATGATATCTTTGCTGCTATTTTTTTCAATAAATTATTATTAAATACTCGCTAATTTGGTAGTCTGAATAGGTAAGCTGATGTTTAAAATATTGGCTTTTCTGAAATTATCTTGTTAAATTCATTAATAATTAATGTTATTTCATGCTTTTATTTTAAATTTGATTGGAATTCTGATCTAGAGTGATTTAATTTTCTGGGTTCTGGATATAATAAAATTAATATGGATGTATTTTGTAATGATTAGTGACACTGAATAATTAAAAAAAAAAAGAAAAAAAGTGCACGGACGAAAATTCTTTATTGCAAAAACCAAGATTCAACTCTTAAAATTTAATAAAAAGCGTTTAGAGTGAAAGTTACAGATACTTGCTAATTCTCATTTATTAATTGCTCTTATACTCCCAAGTCAAATTGTTAGTCTGATAAGAACACAAGTTATTTGTAACGGGGTTCTCTCGCAGTAAAATAATTCGTCGCGAAACATCAACAGGTACATTTATTTAAAACAGATTGTTAAATAATGCAAGAGCGAATAATTTAGTATAATTACAACTCAGTTTATACTTTGAAGTACGCTATAACGAGCAAGTAAACGAGCTTTTTATTTTGAAAATAGCTCATTTGCGTCTGCAACTCACAAATTTGTTGGAACTAATTTGAAGATCTGTTAAGCTTCCACGTCGTTTGATATAACAGAAACATCATGAGTTCGTAATGCGTGTTTTGAGAGGCGAGAAAACAAGCGCAAATATTGGCCGAATAGTCTGACAAAAAGGCTATTAAATGGCGTTGTAAACTTTCCATCCCACGTAAATCCTACGCGGAGCTAAGTGGCTTTCCAAATTTGTTGGCTCCTCGATATCGATTCCTTTGTCGCGCGTTAACAGAACTAAAAAAATTCGGTTCCCTCGTTTTCTCTCTTTTTCGATCTTTCGATTGTACTCGGCTTCTTCCCCTTCCACCGACCCCGACAAAGAAGAAGCTCGCGACAATTTTTTTTTCCCAAAAGAGAAGGGGATATACATTTTTAACTTTCTCGCTGCGTCGATCGTAACTCAGCTTGCGTTCGCTTGTCTTTCGCGCCACTTGTTGAGAGATATAGAAGCGGAAAAAGAGTGGATGAGAGCGAGAGGAGGGCAACAAAAACGCTTCGTGCAACCGAGACGTATTTATGGAAATGCAAGCATTTTTACTTTACCACAAGTTTATTCGGAAGCCAATGATTTTTCTTATACGTTCGCCCGGTTTTTATAATTTCACGCGAATATATGTATATATATATATTTTTTTTTCGAGATTATCTGCGAATATGTACTTTATAAGATAGATAATGCTAAAAGAATTTGTCTACTACTAATCTTTCGAAGGTTTTTTCTTATAGTGATTTTTGTGATTTTTTTGAGATTTATTATTGACCAATATCTTATCTAATCTTCATTTTTGTTAAAAACTTCTTAAAACCTCTTTCCTTTGCGTAATTTTCTGAATGAACACGCATAATCTTTTTCAAACAAGACATAAAATATCTGTTTAAATGTGAATAAGCCACTTAAAAATCAATTCGAATCTAAATGTTTTTTTCACTTGTAGAATTAATTTAGTAACATAAAGAATGTATTATCTTTCAATTCTATATCTGTCTAGCTGTCAGTCTCTGTCTGTCTCTCTCTCTCTCTCTGTCTCTCTCTGTCTCTCTCTTTCTCTCAAAAGATCGTTTTCAGTAGAAATGGCAAAATTCATTTCATAGTTCTCAATTATGTGTTGCGTGAGAACGATCGTCGACCGATCGTCGGCCAATCGTGACTCACATTTTACTTAAGCGAAAATCAATACTTTATACACAGTCTTTACCTTCCTCCTTTTACCCGCTCCATGCTCCCATAGGATTAGAAAAGCACTTATAACAAATCTTCAATTTTTTCATGAAAGAGTATTCAATAAAATGAACAATTAATACTACAAATATTTGTAAGGAAATCGATATAGATATTCTTGCACTGCTATTTTTTATTTCACGCAAATTGTGTATTTGCATGCAACAGATTTCAGTGCTACCCATGACTATTCGTATTTTATGTCTAAGCTACCCGCATAAATCATTTCAAGTTGTGGTATACAAAACAAAAGTTTCTCATGTTCGCAAAGATTACATGTATGTATTAAGAGTAAGCCGCGATGCTCACGAAAGTGCAAAGCAGATCTCATGTTTCGTATACAGCTCTCGCTCGTAAAGATATCTCTGGCGAGTTGTCTCCTTGCCTCTTGAAGGAGAAAAAAGAATCAATGCACATAATCCCTTCTAGGCTAGACAACAAAGCTGAGCACAGCAGCAAAAAAGGAAAGTCTAAAGTGATTCCACATGTCGGTTGTCGTGAGCTCACTTTACAACTTCTCTCTTTTTCTCTTTCTCTCTCTCCCTCGCTCTTTCTCTCTCTCTCTCTCTCTCTCTCTCTCTCTCTCTCTCTCTCTCTCTCTCTCTCTCTCTCTCCTCTCTCTCTCTCTCTCTCTCTCTCTCTCTCTCTCTCTCTCTCTCTCTCTCTCTCTCTCTCTCTCTCTCTCTCTCTCTCTCTCTCTCTCAAGAAAGAAAATCTCTTTGGTGCGCGGAATTCTCGCAGAAAAAGGCAGGCTGGAATTGCTTCATCCAAACAAGAACTATCTCGCGCGGGGAATCTGGATATTAATCAGGTGGACGCGCGAGCAGCACACAATGAACGAGAAAAAATGCAGCACAGAAAAGGAGAGAGAGAGAGAGAGAGATAGAGATAAAGAAGAGTGGAACGTGTTTTTACGGTACGAGCTGCCTTTTGCCTCCTCCTCGCGGTGCACATTCCCCAAGATCAACGAGACAGAGAGAGAGAGAGAGAGAGAGAGAGAGAGAGAGAGAGAGAGAGAGAGAGCCTTTTTCTCTCTTTCTCTCGCCTCTACGCGAAGCCAACGACGATGAATTCACTTGATGAAACGCCGAGAGCGAGCTAAAGCTGCCCACGTATCCGTTCTATCGTACGAGGCCCTGCCGCTGTCGCTCGCGCTGCCGCTGCTACGCTGCCGTGCTCCGACTCTCCCTGCCGGGTCAAGAAGATGGTCGATTCTCTTGAACGCTCTGTCGCTTGCTTACAGTAGCACGAATATTATTGATTTTTATGGCTGCTTTTATTCACTTCTTCTTATCTCAAGGGAATGGCAAATCCAAATCATGGGATAAATTATAAAATTGCAGGCAAAAAATCTGAGGCTAATAAATGGACATAATTTGACTATGGTCCACTATTATATTTTCAAATTGCAGAAACAATTACATTTTTCCAAACTTTTTTCACAACGGGAATGTAAGACTCGAGAAATCGCTTCGTACTTGTTCTGCTTCTAAAGATGTAGGTCTTACGAGTTTCTAACGTGATTCTTTGAATACTTCTTTTGTAAAATATTCAATTTCTTGAACGAGAATTTTTCGAGCGATAATTTAGCTCGTTCATTTTAGACTTGTCGATAGAACGGATCGCGGGATGCGAGAAAAGAGTGATAATTCATCAGTCTATAAATTAAATTTCGCAATGACGTTTGTGCATTTTTTAATCTCCAAGCCGTTTCATCGCGATAAAACGCCGGCTGCGTTTGAGCGCGTGAATCCCCGACTTATTCTCTGCAGGCGTAATAATTTTTCTGGCACCCCATCAACAATCACAAAAGAAACAACCGGCGAACAATCGTTCTCGAAAGTAATAACGAAGTTACCTCTCTTGCATAAGTGGCACAGAGAGGAAGGTAAGTTTTATCAGCAACACACGGGAAAAATTGCATATACATCGGCTTGTTATTGTCTGATTGCTTCGAGGATTTACGGGTATTTAAAGCTTGCTTGCGGACTTTGGGCTTATTTATCTTGTACATGTAGCGCGCTTGAAAGAGAGAAAGAGGGGTGGGGGACTCGCGAAGTTATTACGAAGCGCGCGATAAATCAGGCTTTTTCGTACTGCTTGCATGTGCAGGTTCCGCTCCTCAACTTCGCTTACTGCTGCTGCTGTTGCTGCGGGTGAGAAGTTGCAGTGGCTTGCTTCGATTGTGTATTTATCGTCTGCGAGTTATACCTTTGAGATTTTAGATTGTTTTATTTAGGTGCGAATCGCGTTCCACCATAGTTCATAGAAGAATTACATTTTAACCATTTCTTTTCAATATTGTGGAAGGTACTGAATTTAGTTATGTAACTTTGCTGCAGTCTCACTCACTTTCTAATGATTTTTGTGACGCTGGCATTGTAGTAGTTATATCTCTGCTGCTATCATGCTATATCTTGAATAATGCCCACTCCAACTAGAAAGACAGATGCATATTTTCCTTAAAGATTACGGTAGAGGTAAGAGATATGTCGTCAATCATATAACATATTTCTCTGTTTCAAAACACTTTTCTTAAGCATTCACGTAGATAGTAAATCAGCTTGAAAAATTAGCACACTTATGAGGCTATCTCGACACTGGATTTCAATGGTATTAGATTAAAATCATATAGAACCCGAGCTCATTTTACCACATAAATCGCATTGCGCGGTCGGCCTCTTTGCAATTCATTTATATTTGAGAAAGGATGAATTTTGTTCGGTCGAATGGTACGTATGATTGCGTAAATGTGCGAGCGTGTGTTTTAAATGTTCCCATCCACCTGATTACGAACAACAAAGGGCCTTAAAAGACTCTCACTCAACAATACTGACATATTCAAATTGAACGCTCGAAGTATGTGGAAGAAGTGAAAA